GCAATTTCTCTGTTTGGGGTATGGTCACTTATCCTCGATGGCCCAGCTGAGAGCTCACTTTCTGTGTAAATTATCTACCTGACACATCCTGCATAAAGCCTTATGCTTTATGCTTCTCTACTCTGTGCCTCAAGACCGATGTCAGGAATTCTATGTGTTCTTCCTGGGAAAACTCTCCAGCCCAGGCCTGGTCCACAACTCCATAGCAAACCCTCAAGGCACCCAAAGGTGCTTGGTAGAGGCTGGGGTTCCTGGGCCTTCTCTGTCACACCTTGTGTTGAAGGTCTCAGAAAGGCCTTCATGGGGGAATTCCAGACCTATTCTCATCCTGCTGACAACCATCCTCACAAAACATTGCAGTACTGCTTCATCAAAATCCTGCACATGTTCCCCTAATGCCTATGACAGGCAAAACCTTCAAGACTGGATGCCAGATTACTCAGACATTTTCAACTCCAGTGATGCCTCCCCAGTGTGGCCTTTCCAGCCACACTGAGCCACTTATTATAGCACTTCCTCTATTTCCTCCATCTTCCTAATGAAGACTTAACTACAGTTACTGAAATTTCCATCTCTGTGCCTCAGCTTCCTCATCTGTAAAAGGGGGTGAAGAATAATACCTACTCATACAGTTGTGGTTCAGAATCAATGGGTTCACATTCTTGGGATGATGATTGTCACCTGCTAAATCATAAAGCAGAGCTTGTCACCTGCTAAACCATAAACCAGAGTAGGTACTACCATTAGCAGAGCATGTCTTTCTCCTACATGGCTTGGTTAAATGAAACCTCCTTTGCAAACCAAACTCAGCCTCACAAACCAGAGCTAATGCCAGCTTTTCTCTCTCAGCCCATGCTAACAGATCTCATACTCATTCTTACCCTATTTTGCTGTATACATTTATCTATCTCCAACATTGAACCATCACCATTCTGAAGACAGGGGTCTAAGTCATCTTATGTTAGTTGGATCCTTCAAAGGCCTTCCATAACACCTTGAACACAGCAGGCTCTCACTGAACATTAGATGGGTGGGAATTCATCCAAGAAAGGGAATAGAAGCAGGCAGCTGAGGTGCACAGCATTTTAGGGTTTTCTTTGAACCTGGGTATGTACTCTATGCCATCTATACTCTGGAGAAATACTCTCCACACCCAAGAAAAACTTGTGAATAAAACTCCTTGAAGGGTCCAGGGGATAAGCTGAATGTGATCCTGCATGGGGATTCTGGAAATCTATGGATCTGCTCTAACTGTAGTCAAATGGCATTCAGTGGACCATATTTTTTTCTTTCCTAGAGAGTGTCTTTGGTGCTGGGGATTGAATACAGGGCCTCCTTCCCACATGCTAGCCAGGTATCTTATCACTGAGCTACACGTCCATCCTAGAGAACATTCTTTTTTTTAATATTTATTTTTTAGTTGTAATTGGACACAATATTTTTATTTATTTATTTATTTTATTTCATGTGGTTCTGAGGATTGAACCCAGGGCCTCGCATGTGCTAGGCGAGCACTCTGCCGCTGAGCCACAATTCCAGCCCGAGAGCCTTCATTAAATGGAATCTGTTAGGCCTCAAGCTAATAATCCTTTCATTTAGCCACTTAGAGACCAAGCCTTGCCCTCCAGAGCCTTACATTAGTGAAGACATTGCTTCCTTGCAATGTACAAACCCACTGAGTAGGGAGAACTAGGTAACAGGTGCGTGGTGATTTGGGTAGAAACCTAGGAGGAAACTCCTTAATGAATTCCATATTAATTGACCAATAAAGAGGAGAGATAATAGTCTGATGGAGTAAGGGACTTGGGGACCTCCATGGCTCACTCCTCCTCAGTGGTGTGGAGCCAAGGGTTATCCATCATTACACGTGTGTGCTTGGCGTGGAGCGCAGACACTTGCCATTTGGCTTGGTCTGGCAGTGAGGGTTGTTTTCTGTCAGGATGACTAAAAATCACACTACCTCAGCATCCAGAGACACAAAACAAGGCTGTTCACCTAATGACCACGCAGAGAATTAAGGGACACTAAAAGACCAGAGGAAGCATAATAGCAGAACAAAGGGGACATGAAGACCATTAGTGGAGCATCCCTGAAGCAATTCTCCACAGAGGATGTAGAAGAAACCCTTCCACAGGAGCCTGTTTTATTTGCAGAAGGCATGGTGGTAAATTAAAGCCCAACCTGGCCCATTCTGGGCTCTCTGGTTTCTCTTGGAGCCGTTCCTATCACTGCCCATAGGCCACTAAAACCTTCCCACAATCGGAATGATTGATTCTCTTCAAACCGTGAACCACAAACTCATGCTGAAAAACCCACTTCAGATAAGTCATTAGTTTTTTTTATGGATTTTCGAGGTCACAAGGAATAGGACCTGGAAGTCCTATCCTGAGAAGAGTAGAGGGGGGGCAGTTGAAGAGGTGGAGGGACCTGGGCAAGCCACAGGAGCTGGGCGAGCCCCTGTTTTCTGCCAATCAGCAAGAGGCACTGAGGAAAATATAGGTCTCAGCGACCTCCTAGGCAGTGCTAGATATTCCAGGGCATCCCAGAGGCCTTTGGGTTGGACCCTTCATTCCTACACTACAGGGGAAGGAAAATGCAGAGAGTCAACAGGGGCCCTGTCCTTTCTCCTCTGATAGTATGTAGAGTATGCTGAGCACCTGGGATACAGAAAACCAGAGTCAAGGAGGAGAAGGTGAGACTCCCTGACTTGTCGGGCTGGCCTATCAGCTAAGCTGCAATGGGGACCACTGTGGGCCCAGAGGATGAAGCATCCTGGTGACTATAGCTGTGGTCCTAGCAGCAGCCCAGAGGCACCCGCACGAGAAACCTAAGTTCTGTAGCTTGGCAAGTTTCAGCTCACCACCTGACCCCCGTTTAGCAATTCTGATGTACCACAGAGCAGACAGCTCCAGCCTGGGATGACTGCCTCCCTTAGCCCCTCTCCGGCAGGCAATGAAAGCAAGATCCACTTTGAAAATTCTCCCCCATCATGCAAACTGACATAGGCATGCTTTTCAAAAACCCACAGCCAATCTGTTGATCATTACTTATTTACAAAGGCCTTCGGGCAGAAAGTCCTGTAAAAACCATACTTGATATGGTATACACTAGCTTTTTCTGCTTGTGGAAAAAAAGTCCCCTGAAGGCTACCTCAAACCATCACTTTCTATTGCACATAAAATGTAGCGTGTAACACTAAAGTATTTAATATATATGGTATAATATATCTACAGGAAAGGCATTTGTGTAGAAGTATGTTACCCTGGATTTGGTAATTTGATGTTTTGCTGAAGGCTACGACTTAAAAAAAGCCTCCACCTCGTACAGGAGACCTGTCATCTTGGTACCCAAGAGCCAACAGAATAAAGAAGTACCCTTAAGCAGCAAAACTTTGACACAGCTTTGAAGCATATGAAAACAGTATAACTCCTCAGAATTATTATTACTCAAGATCAAAGAAATGAGCCATACTTTACATAGCAAACAGGGACAGGGAATTTGGCTCCAAAGGTTTCAGATTTTTCAGACTTCTCTTTATTTATTTATTTGCTTCTCTAAATTTAGGCAAAGGAAAATGCCTGGGCTTCTCTTGTCTTTAAATGGAGGAAACTATTAGCATTAGATAAGACCATTACCTAAAGGTGAATATATAGGAAGCGAATGCTTGTTTAACAACTGGCATCATAAGAAGGAGAAGCTTGGGAGTTGTATTTTATTCCTTTTCCTACACTATATACAGGTATGGAAATCAGTCCACAAGCAAAGCTGGGAGGAGGGGAAGGCAGAGAACGCCCAAACCAACACCTATCAGGAGACCGCAATAATGGCACAGGAGATAGGGCTGGTGGTCTCAGCTAGTGGAGAGCCTATGTCCTCTACCACTAAAGTAGGACCTCCCTGTCCTTCCCATGTCCCAGACTGGTGCACGTGGAGGACCAGGGAGAAGAGAATGCAAAGGAAAAGTGGGGAATGAAAAATCACTGTTCCTGTATTTCAATAATCTAACAGAGGAGAGAGGCCTGTGGCAAAGCAAAGAGGAAAGGAGTGTGTGAGGAAGGCAGGTGTTTCCCTGGAAGGGACCGTTCAGGGTGGACAGTGCAAATCTGAAATCACTCCTGTTTCAGTGAAGTGCTAGAGAGTCAGGCGGTCAGAGGAAGTGAGGGCTGTGATTGATAGAAGAATCACAGACACAAAGGAGAGATGAGCAGACAGAGAAAAAGAGCTGTAGAACTCTGTCAAAATTTGGTTTACTTGCTGTTTCTTAGAGGAGGTCATGGTCAACAGAGAAGGAAGGCAGGAAGGGAAGGAGGAAAAAAAGAAGGAAGAAGGGAGGGAGGGAGAAATGAAGGGGGAGAAAGAAAGAATAGAGAGAGAGAGAGAGAGAGGGAGAGCGCAAGCATGTTGTATTTCATAATTAATATTGCTTTTAGCCTGAGCAGAACTGGATTACTTTTGAACTTTGCTTTGGCAAGTCCACAGATTATTAGACTTTTTTATCAGTCAAAATCAATTAACAGAAATTTGATTTCAATCGACAGGATAAAAGGAAGGTAATCTTCAGGTTCATTTTTGATTGTGATGATACATCTCACATATGGCCTTAAGTACAGAAAACAGTCCTCGGAGGGACTTGAGCAGAAAGAGACTTGCCACAGGCAAACTAACCACAGAGTTCCTCTGATTGGTTCCTGCCGTCATTAGTGCCACTGCTGTTTAGGAACTACACACAGACAGGACATGGTGACAGCTAAGACTTTAAAGCCTATGTATTTTTCAAACAGCTTTTCAAACTGTTTTTCATGACAGAATTTTTTCAGCTCTATCATTAACTGCTGACAAGCTGACAGAATAAATACTGCAGCCTCTAAGAAGCCATCTAAGGATCTGCTCCCCTCCCCCGCTGCGCTGTGGGCTGGGGAGGGAGGCTGGGCCTGTGCAGGGCGGGGAGGGGGCAGGCAGGGGAGAAGGAGCAGAGAGGGGCCTTGCTGGCCCCTTCTTACCTCATCAGCTTTGGCGAGGAGTTGGGCGAGTTCCTCATGCCCCCGTTGCGTTGTTTTTTTTTGGGTGATAGCGTCGACGGCTGCTCATCTTCAACTGGAAATACAGGCAGCTCATGAGATTACGAATAGTTTGAGGACAGACTGTGAAATACAGGCAAGATATCAAAGGACACACACTCAAGGCCTCAGTCACTCACTAGGAATTCATGGCTGTCTTTTAGGACCCAATGACAAAGACCAAATGTGTTAGTCAAAGAGGCCGGCCATAGAGAAGGTCGAAGCAACACCTCTTTACGCTTCAGCCTTTGAACATGCACTTACAGCCAACTCAAACTGTTTATCAATGCCCTGCCATAAGGAAAAAAAAAATGTGATTCATCTGCATACTGAAATACATATATATGACCCATCAATCGTTATTTTTAATTTTGGTTACATTGATAAGCAAATGAGTTTTCTTGTAACCAAAATCATCCATAACTACCATAACTACCAGCCCACTGCTTCTCCCCATGAACTAATTTAACTGGTTCCTAATCCCTGCAGACCAGAGAAAGCCTGGGAGAAGCCAGGATTCAAGGCCTTCAGGGCCAATGTTCCAATCAGTGGTGACTGGGAACATTGGCACATGTGGACTCAAGAATCCCCAGCCCAACTGGGCCCTTATCCCTCCAGCTGCCAAGAGAGAGGGCACTGTGGCTGCGCACATGGGTTCTTTGCTTAACCCATTCAGACTGAAGGACCGGGATTGGCGAGGCTGGAGAGCCAGGTTGCCGAAGAGCACCAAAGGAGGAGGAGGTTGCTACTGAATGATACCTGGGATGATGCGGTGGAAGGCAGGGATGGAGGGCAGCAGAAGGGGCTGGAAACCAAAGGCTGTTTTCCAAATGTCTAAACCACACAGATCGTTAAGCAATGGGAAGCTTCACTCACAAACAACACAGCACACTCTACTGCTCTTGCCCAAAGACACCCACTAATAAGCTTTGTAGATGAATTAGTCTGCCCCTGTGCTTCTTTTTAAGAGAGCTGCTTGATAATTAGCAGATGTGTACCCAGCCTGTCACCCAAGGGCATCAGCGGCAAAATTCTAGCCCTGCTCTCCCCAACCCCCACAATGCAGGCTAAAGCTGTAATGTCAAGAAGGAAAAAATAGGATCCTTGGATTCTTATAGTTGACTGCAACACAGACTAGGAGAAAGCACCTCTGAAACTCAGAACGCAAGGAGGTTACCTTAAAGCTAAGAAGAGAAATATTAGCAGTGACAACGTCAAAAAAGGCTTCATAAATGTTTTTAGTGTATGAGTCTTAGATGGCAAGTAAAGGCCATCGTAGCTACTTAGTATTATCCAGGAAGACCCATATCAGAGCATGCACTCTATAGTGCTTTCCTGAAGACACTAAATCAATTTAGTAGGTTATGATATATGATTCTGAAAAATATTATAATGATCCAACAATCCTCCAGACTTGCGCCAAAGTATCCCACTTTTTACACTCCCCTACTGTACTGTTAATCCAGGGTTGCCTGATTCTGGCTGACACGGGAAAAGGCAAAAAGAACATGGTGTGAGGTGAGGGTGACCCCAGAAGAAAGAAAGGCAAGAATGCACCTGCCAACGCCCACAGCTGCTCCCGCCACCTCCTGCTCCCTCCCTCTCTGTTCTGCCAGAGGCTCTACTCAGGCTGTGACCATATCAGTCACTTAGTGCTCTAGGCAGGGACTATGTGGTGGGGAGGATATCGCATCTTATCAGAAATGAGTATCCACAGCAAATCACACAGAGACTAAACAGCACTTAAAAGATTAAAGGAAATAAATACAAGTCACATAAATGGTATTGAAAAAAATCACTTAGAGTTGATATGCATCTCTCAGCAGCAAACAGGCTTTCTGAGCTTGACCCGAATTCATCTTCCTTTCACAGGACAGGGGACTGAGCATCTGAGGCAATAATGTGGTAGAAGTGTGTGTGTGTGTGTGTGTGCGTGTGCACACGCGTGTGCACATGTAAATACGCTTTTACACTTTTCCCATCTTAGTAGAAAGGACTGCACCAACTTCATCTGTAATAGAAGGTCACCTTTTATTATGGGCCACTTGCACTGTTATGCTGTGTCTGGGGTGACCTAGATTAGTTGGTCAGCATGCTAGACTTGACAACATGTGTCTTTGTGTGTGCATGTGAGTGGGTCTAGTAAGAGTGCAAGTTCTGTCCCCTTTCACAGAAGTTTCCTTACGATTCCAATGGAATACCCCCAAAAGCTCTTTCATCCAACCAAATCTCTATGGCTAGCTTTATTGGAGGCCCCCAGGTGTTGCTATGGTTGTGTTGTTCCAGAACAAGTCTCTATTAGTTAGATATACACAGAAAGTCACCTTCGTGGGCATGCCTCTGGATTCTTCTGCTTGCCTTGTGCTTCCCTGTTGGCACTAGGCCTTCAACAGATAATCCCTTTGGTTAAGTGCCCATCATCCTTATACCTTGTCACTGGCTGTTTACCTGCACAGATCTTCAGATGGGGAACTTGCAAGTGAATCCCTGTTAGCCAGCTCTAGAGAGACAGCTCATTTTGGTAGCGAGGTTACACTGTCTTCTGTGCAAGGAAGCTATTTATTTTCATTGCAACTTGTAGAGATCATCCATCATAATCATACTGAATTTAAACTGGAATTTGTTCTCTGAAATGAAACTCTGTTCAAAGCTTTCCTCCTGCACTTGGGGCCTGGAAATATGTTCCCCGAAGAGATGGGGGACAATGTCTCCATATTAAGTATATGAACGTTGTGTAATGGAGACCACTGCATCTGGCTCAGGTCTCACAAGAGAATCAGGGATGATTTTTTCTTCACAAGGAGGATATAAACCATATTTAATTATTACCCTTTATAAGGATTCTATAAAGAAAGCATATCTAGGAAAACTTTTAGTTAAGCTATAAACTATAGTTTTCATTTCATGGCTTCTGTGACTACACGAGAGGAATAAAAATGGAATTAAAAGGGAGACTTAAATTTACACACTTTCATGAAAGACAAATGTGTTGAAGTAGTGGGCTGCTACTTCATGACAACGCACATTACAGGTTCGTATTTAACCTACTTTTTGGCTAATTGCAATACACCTCTGTCTCTAGCCTTTTCACTTGCCTCCGTGCAGTGGGAGACACATGAAGATATGAACCTTTAAAGGAAACTGACTTACCAGCTTCTTTAAAACACAAACAAGTTCAGGAATCTAACATGGAATTTTTATAGGAGCTGAACTCCATCCAGTCTCCAAGTACTCATAAAATTCAAGGGCTTGTTTTTGCACATCCCTAAGTATAACACTTAATGTTCTGTTGTAACTTCCCAGCGCTCCCTTGTCTAATAGGCACTGAATCTAACAGTTTTACAGTTTGGGAAGACTCTGCGCTAGAAAAATGTCAGGCAAGTCTAATGAGGCTTCAGATCCCCTGGTTTGCGCTGGAGTTTAATTTAAAGTTACAATGATGTTTTAACATGTTTGCTTATACTTGACTAAAGAGGATTCATTATTTCAATGACATAACCTCCAGACAATGTTCTGGGGATTGATTTAAGATGTGGTGGTAATTCCAACAGCCTTAATGCAGAGTTGAACATCTGTAACAACATTTCATTCCGCTTTTCGTCAGCTTTCTGTTTTCCAGCAAGAGCAAGGCAACATCTTCCAGAAACACTGGCCAGGATTCGGGGCTTACTTCAAAATGATCATATAATTTACTAGATTTTTTTTAAAAGAAATATCTGCCTAGCCAGGCTGCAAACACTGAGTAAGGGCTCACCAGTGTCTCTTTATAGGTCCTTGAAGTGAAATGTGACAATGGTTACCATCTTCAGCTTTCCTAAACATCCCAGTGTCTGTATGTAATGGACTCAATGGTCAGCTCCAGCCTGGGGCACATTCCCTCTTCCCCATTTCCCCAGTGTGATTCAGGGGGATGAAGCCCCTTTAGACTTAAAGGTGAGTTTGTTGGCTGAAGTTAAAAAATAGTTCAAAGCAAATAAATTCAGGAACGTAATAAAAGGCAAACAACCCGTAAACATGAGTCAACTAGCTATCGCCATTACGTTATTAATCACCACATCTGGAGAAATCCACATCTGTACACACTTAGCAGGTCATTAGTAATGTCATTTCACACTGGAATCACTCAGAGTAAGAGTCATGCAAAGTGGTTTGAACACAAAGCCATCTAGCTAACAGGGCTTCTGACCAAAGTCTGCAGCAAGCTGCTAGTTTGAGGGCGGGGTAATTTTAATGATTGTTTATTGTTTTTTATGGATTTTCTGTTGTTTGGTATTTTGCTGCCCAATAAGCTAAATGCATGCTGAAATCCATGGTAGTACATCTCTCTCCTTCAACTGTGCTCGTTTTGTTAAAATGGAACACTGAGGGGTGCAGGACAGTTATCGAAAATTGGGAGAAGTCCCAGTACTCCTTCACCTGGCTCAGTCACAAGCTGAGAATGGGGAGTTGAGTTCTTGAACTCAAATGGGTCTTTGTGATAGCGTGATCTAGCTTCAGCCTTGACTGCCAAACAATAAGGAGAAAAGAAAACGGAAATTAATCCTTAGTGAAATTTTTCATTGCAAAAGTTCCAAACCAATTTTAATGTTGAATAGAATCATCACTTTGGATTAAAATGGAGGTTTCTCCCTCATGGCCTAATTGCAGGTATATTTATTTCTATTCTTTTACCCAGATGACTTCCTGAAATTCTTTTTGCTGCATTTTTGTCATCAACGTCAGTAGGGATAATATCTGTGAAAATTCAGAAGACCACCTCCTTCTGCAATAATTTCCAGAAATATACAGGGTCCCCCTCCCTTCTCCCCCAAAATACACGCACAAAACCCAGATGAGCGGCAGGATCAGATCCATTATATCCTGAAAAATACTGAAAGAAATCCTACAGAATAATTATTCTATTCGAATCCTTCTCCCTCAGTGTTATCTTGCTATTCATCTCAGGCCACTGGCTTGGCCAGCTCGCTGGGTGATCAGAATGCTGCCTAACTGAAATGTCATGGGTTTGTCACTTCTTAGAAGGAATGATATGTAGGG